ATCGAGAATTTTAGTGTATGCTGCGAATTAGAAAAGAAACTGGAGTCTTCTATATTTCCAGAAGGGGCCAACGAAAATCTCAAATGGTTCCTAAGAATGTATCCTAAGGGCTCTGCTAAAGCAGAGAGCAAAAACTACCTGGGGTTATTTCTCATGCTCGTTTCGTGCAGGGAATCGCAGGCTGTAAAAGCAAAGTGCAAACTTTCCATTCTCAATGCCAAAAGAGAAGAAATAATAAAAATGAAACTAAACATGCATCAATTTATTTGCGGTCAAGATTGGGGCTATGAACAATTCATCAGGAGAGACTCTCTTCTAGACAACGGGCTGCTGTCAGACGACAAACTCACGATATTCTGTGAGATCAGCGTAATGGATAATGTAACATCCAGTAACGATCCAGTAACGATACCGTTTGAAATATCGAAATGCGAACTTGATAATGTCGGGTTACTGCTTTTCGAAAATTCCGAATTTAGCGACATAACAGTTCTTGTCGATGGAAGAGAGATCAAGGCACACAAAGCAATTCTCGCTGCACAAAGTCGCGTCTTTTCGGCAATGTTCAAAAGCGAGATGACCGAAAAACGAAACAACGTGAAAATCGAAGACATGGATTTTGAAACCGTGAGAGAAATGTTGCAATTTATTTACACCGGTAAAGTGGAGAAGTTGGAGAAAATGCCGAACTTATTATACGCAGCGGAAAAATATGAACTAAAAAATTTAAAAGTAATCTGCGAGAAAATACTTGGCACACGGTTGACTATTGAGAACGTGGCAAAGATCCTCATACTTGCCGATCTCTGTAGGGCCGATTATTTGAAGGCACAAGTGCTAGACATAATTAAAACGTAAGTTAATGTCGCGAGAGAGAACGGTGCCAGACGGCAGACCGTGCATGTTAACAGCATGTGGAGCAAATGCGCTGGCAACGCACACAAAGCAGAGACGTTGCTAGCGCATCCTTTACACATACTGTTAGCATGCTGCACGGTCTGCCGTCGCATCACATAAAGAGAAGTGTGCTTGCGCAACGTACACCAGCTCATCGACTAAAAGATAATTTTACTCTTCCAACGATCAAAATTATATTTTTTGGCTGCGCGGGTGAACGCGATGGAACTTGCGATCTCTAATCCGTGCTTTTGCAGACATCTGACGGATGTGCTTAATACCGAGGGTTACAAGTCATTGGCAAACTCCCACCCACATCTGATGTTAGAAACTTTACAAGCTTTAGCGACTCAGAATATCGACCGCCCAGGAAACGAGTGAAACGACGCTGAAAGCAGTCACCGCTCACCCCAGGTATACGACCTTTACATCGTTCTCATTATTTTTGCATTTCTCTTGAACCTTTGTGTACAGTGAAATAATGATGTATAGTAGTGCCAAATAAATGCAGAGAAGCAATTTGTTGCAGAGACGGATGAAGTTGAACTCAGCACCGAGTTGGAGCGCATCGCCAAGTTCTGCGAATTTAATCCATAATCTTCCGCACTTCCATATTTCCTGGATGCGTTCGATTATTTTGCAATTAATAAAAGCTTACTCGGATCCGGGTAATTTAGTTATCGTTCTGGGAATCATGATGAGAATTACATTAATGGAATCACACTTAATGTGAGAGAGACGTATACAAATTGATCTCTCCTCACCTTTATTTTACTTGAAGTTACTATATAGTTTTTGAAATCTAACACAAGCTATTTTCGAGACAAATAGTTTGTATGTAGTATAAATATCTCTCGAGAGAAAACTCTTCGATTTCGAAAACAGAAACGTGCGCAACATTGACAATATTCAGCAGAGAAAGATATTAATTTTTCCTTCGAGATACGCGCGAGTGGGAAAACGCACGTGAATAATTGCTTTCTCCTTGATTTGAAATATGTAAGATGAAATATTGTTTAAAATGTTTCTTTATTCCTTAAAACTTTATTCTTTTGATTTTATCAGTTTCCATGTAATATTATTTCATTTCAGAATTATTAATAGCGCTACAAAAATTCTTATTCTATTGTAGCGAAAAAAATTAGGATTGTTCTTGCTTTAAGTAATTATAAAAAAAAATAATGCTTAAAATTTTTCTCTGTCGTTTAAATTTATTCTTTTTAACCTTAGCGTTTTCTATGTATAATTATTTGACATATTTTTTTAAGTTTTAGATAGTGCTACATAAATTCTCATACAATTATATAGGAAAATACTAGAATTTAAATCGCTCTTGTTTAAAATAATTAAATTATAATGTATTTACATTTCAAGGAACAGTGTTAAGATTTCCAGTGAGAAATGTATAGCTCACCCGACGTCGAGTCAATGTCGATAATTATCAACGTCGAGTCAGGTATAATCAGTCAAAAAGTTCGTCGATCCACAGTGATTCGACGTCGAAGACGTCGATCAATTCGATTTAACTAGCTGTCAATCTCTTCGACGTCAAATTAACGTTAAATCGACGTCACCTTT